ACGGAATAACGCGAAGTAATAAAGATATTCAAACCGCGCAACCCCTAAAATAAGAAAGCAGCAACGGTGGACCAATACCCTTATCGAACGAACACCCGGACACGTCCATAAACGTTAAAGAACCCGTTCTCCCGATGACATTCTGTTTAAAGAAGCCGAAGCTGTGACAAGCGGCCGGCGGGCCTCTGGGTTAAAGAGCAGGGTGAGCCGAGGAGCGAACTGGGGCTCTGGACAGGACGGAGCGATTTAAGCGAGCAAAGAGGAGAGGGCCGCGGCGCTCGCGGCCAGAATGGGGCTGAACGAAGAACCGAGATGGGCTGAAACCCAGGACGCTGCTTGCACAAAGCGTTGCGATGTCTCTGAGACGCACAGACTGACCCGCACGGGTGAGACGAACATGAGTTGAAGTACTGATGCGCTGACAGAGCTGAGCGAACGGCTGATGAACTGGACAGGAGCGGGTACGTCTTACCTGGCAACGCCCTCGATGGGCGGGAGAGGTTACAGTATGATGAGGCTGAAGAGCCGGCTGGGAGCCGAGACATGCGGAAGTGAGCGCAGTGGTCCGGAGGCAGCGTTCTGCCGGAGACAAACAGGAGGAGACTGTCCAGGTAGTGAAGCAAATCCGTGGTGAGAGGAGCCGGGAGAGCAGGAGGAACCAAGGCAGGTCGTGGGGACGACCTGCGCACGACTGCGGGGCGGCGTCGGAGAGCCGCAGCAATTAAGCGAACGTGAGCCGGAGCGGGGAACCAGGCGGATGACGGACTACGTCCACGACATGTAGAGGTGAATTTCTGCTTCGCCGCCGCCGTTGGAGGCTAAAGGAGGGCGAGGTTCGGCAGATGGATCGGAGGGAAGCCGCTGGGAGACAACAGAAGTGCAGCCGGCGGCCGAGGTATAATCCTTGGACCTGGGCGGTAAAAGAAGGAAAGGACGATCGGTGATCCTCCTGCGGACCAGGGAGTGACGGGAGGCTGCCGAGACCAGCTAGCTGAACGTCGGAAACGTAAAAAGAGAGCACGGCTGACGCGCTGGTTGTGCACAGCGACGAGCGGGTTGACCCTCTGCTAGCTTGGCTTTTGAAGACGGTCCTGGATGATGATAGGCCCAAAGCGGAGAGTTGCTCCAGCCCTGATTGGTTGAGGTAGGACGTGGCGATTGCGAGATGAATGTCAGCTGGATCGAGTCTCCCAGGTTGAATTTACGCCTAAGCTTCATGTGTGACAATGGTTGGTTAAAATCAGTTATAAAATGCCCAAAACACAAGCAGTTCTAAAGGCCAGCTCCTTCCTCAGAGCTCTGCCACAGTAAAAACTACAGTGATGCGTTTTTGTAGTTCTAATTTATAATTCTAAAGGCCAGCTCAGTCCTCAGAGCTCTGCCATAGTAAAAACTACAGTGATGCGTTTTTGTAGTTCTAATCAGCTGCTCGGCCCTGCTGTGCTTCGTTGCTACGGTAATTAATCCTCTGCAACTGTCATGTGTGTGAGACAGAAAGAATTCTATCTTTGAGAGACACCCAGTCAGTTTTGACTGAAAAAAGCAGTCCGAACAACTCCTTCCCGTTCTGAAACCGTGATACGTATCGGAAAACCGTTTTAAGCGTATGAGAGGGCTATCTTTCGTCTCTGATAGTCCCGCAATTCATATCTGTACATCACTCACAGTAATAACAGCGACGAGATAAAAATGGTGTGCGCTGAGGTCTGACATTTTTCAGAAATACATGGAAGTGAACCTGGCTGAGCGAGTGGAAATCCTGTCGCATCACTTTGCTCTGAAGCCCCTAGACAAAAAACCGTAAGCCCTAGAAAAATTTTGAAAACATTTCACCGGAGCAGGCATGCGTATCTATGTCATGACCGAGTTTGATACCGATAGGGCGATATTTGTGGGCGTGACGGCGATTTCAAAATTTATTTGGGGTGAGAATCGCACTGCTTCCCACACTCTAACCAAACGTCAGTTACACTTTAGTTTTTCCAAAAATTGAAAACTTTGGAGCGCTTAGAGAGAAATTATGGACAAACCGTAATTCGTAACATTGTAACCGGTGAACAGTCATCACCGGTTCTAATGTTATTCCCCTTGAGGATAAAGCTTGTCCTCTGAAAGGCAGTTTCCAGACTTCCACTTTGAGAGGGAGCACCTCTCCCTCTCAACTCCTCCATCCAGCTCCTTCAGACTAGCCAGCAGCAATTAGCAAACACCTGTTGGGACTGCAAATCTGCTCAGCTCATTATATGAGCTACTTCTCAGTGCCACACTGGTAAAAACATTGTTGAACAGTCAGAGGAGCCATGTTGTGATGACTTTCTGAAGGCGGACATTCAGAAAGGGCAGGAGTTTTTAAAGAGACAGTGGCCCAATTTCAAGGCGTTAAATTACAATGTCAAATTTCTTTTAAGTTATATTTGACATATAATACATTCTTACAACTGAAGGTAACATAGTTACTTGACTGTGTTATAAAATACAAGAGGAACCTCTAAAGGAACTTGAATAGAGTAACTGTATCAAAGAGAGTAACTGGTTTTCTGACCAGTGAACATGCAGCCTGATTGATGGTAGAGTGGGCGCTCCATACGTGAAAGCTTGATTCTGACCTTGAACCAAGTGCTGCAGCTCATTTCATTCTCTCCTACTTTAACGGGTGACTCCAGTGCCTTTGGAGCTTAACATGAAATTGAGCCGTCTTCATGTCAGTGTCGTAATTTGCTGAACGATCTCCAGATTTCATCGGTAGAATATGTTTCCCCACTGTTTCTTGTAGAACCAGACTCAAACGAACACTGCGCTTATAAGGAGTCGTTTACCAGCAAGTGGAGGAATGGCGAGTGTGATCAGAAACATACGTTCATGTGCTACGATGAGTCACTGACTCTGGTGAAGGAGAATAAAACCTGGGAGGAGGCGTTGGAGCACTGCAGGACTCTGAACAAAGTCCACAGCTACGACCTGGCGACCCTCTCCACAGACGACGACAACCACTTTGCACAAGAGAAAGCCCAACTGGCAACCACTGAGGAGGTGGGTCGCTGTTTGCTCTCCGGTGTTCTTTACCAACTCATCCTCAGTGTTTACGTTGACTTCCTGCTACATGTTGGTAGATGTGTACGGGCCTGCGTTACCTTGGTGACGAGTGGGTCTGGGTGGGTGGAGAACCGGTGCAGGACCAGGACATTCCAAGCTGCCCGACTGAGAGGTGTGGAGTCCTGGAGAAGAACGGCAACTCATCCTTCAGCAGCAGAGACTGCAGCCAGAGAAGGAACTTCTTTTGCTACATAAAATCTTAAATGTACATACATTATTAATCCTGTTGTTAATTATAATTACGAGCTTTTACAAACTTTTATAGGTGAAATCTATTAAAACATAGATGAAGATTAGCATAAGCTATTATAAGCCATTTTTGACCCATTTATTGTTTTCATTTGTCAAATCAGCAGCTGTATGTAACCAACACAATTCAGTTAAATTACTTATTTAGAGATGAAGTAGGTAACTTTTAGAAAACATATTTGTTATAACTGTCATGATAGCAGAATATGCAACAATGTGTAAAAAAAAAAAGTTGAGCTCCTCTGCTTCCTTCCTGCCATGTGAAGAAACAGTCTGAGCTAGGAAGAGGGTTTCAGTGCTGTCAATCAAGCTTGTGATCATGCCACCAGTTTCTCACAACGGAACCTGTTAAGAATGCTAAGACTAGTTAGCCTGTCCACCAATCAGCTTTTGAAACTTGTCCCTGGTGCTGATCGTGATTTATTTATGCTTCACATTTGTAATATATGAAGCTGTTCTCTCTCGAAAATTTACATGAAGTGAGTTTCAGAAACATTATGTCATCCATGTTCTTCTGATTTTGGCTATTCACTTTCTTACGCTGGACTTGGAAATTTTTTCAATTATTTACAAATTAGTATACCCTCAGTTCTTCTATTCCAGTGGTTCCCAAAGTGTGGGAGGAGTTCGGGAAACTGTATGGATGAATAAAAAAAATAAATAGTTTAGATGGTTTGTTGTTTGTTTTGTTGCAAATAAAAGTCAGTGGAGTTTGAAAACAAAATATGTGTATAGGGTTGTATCTGGTTCAACATAATGTGTGTGTCCGGTTGAATTTTCTTTTTTTTTTGGTGAACATTTTACTGTAATCCAGAGGAACTCTGGAACGACATGTTTACTGGATTAAAACGCAGCGATGCATGAGCATCACGGGGCTAAAAACACACTTTGACTCCTTCTCGTAAGCAAACTTTAAAATACAGCTACCGTTTTCATAAGATTTTTTTTTTAAAATAAACTAATTCACTAATCGAACATGCGTGCGTCCAATTTTGCACTTCAATAACTTCAACTTCAAGTTGTTAGCTAACTCCTCATAAATATTATATCTGGAATAATGAAGACATTAAATACAAATTATAAGACAATCTTTTGTAGAAAATGGTTTAATAGGGAAATATTACTTGTAAGCCAGTTACTAAATCCAAATGGTCATTTATTGTCTTATTCTGACTTTGTTACTTTTCCAACTTCCTGTTACTCCTAAAGAAAATGCTGTTGTGTTTGATGCAATCCCCAGTGGGTCATTAAGGTTTTGTCATCTTTAGTTCCAGGTCAAATTCACTCAATGCCAAATTTTGATCTAAACTCCATTTATATTGACTCTGATTGTCCTTTTATGTGTCAGAAAACAACCAACAAAATATTAACAGATGTCGTTTTTTTCACCAGCTTCTATATTTTATTGGTCCAACATTTTTGAAAATATAAATTGGAGGTGGACTTGGTTGCTCCTAAAGAAATACTTAATAAACAATAAAGTCAGAGAAGTTTCTTAAAAAAGTCTTCTTTTGCTCTTGTCAAAAATGTCAAATTAAGCAAAGTAGGTTGATTTGAAGAAAATTATTTAATATTTTTCATAAAAGTTACATAGTGCAGAAGTATACTAATTTTAGTTAAAATTGTAAATTTAGGTGTATAGGGTTATATCAGTCATCTTTAAACTTTATATCTGTGACTCCACTGAGTGGGAGAGTACGGGAAAGTGTCCGACTCTGGCCTGGACTGATCCTCAAGGTGTCCCTCGTTGGTGGCGTAAGGACGGCTCAGGAAGTCCCTGATGTGTGGAGGCAAGGAGAGGAAGAGCCACCTCTCTACCAGCAGCCGGAGTTCTGTCAGGTCCGCCATTCGCTTGAGTTCCGTCAGCACAAGCAGCCTTGCGCCTTCGTTGTGTATCTCCAGCTTCACCAAGCTTCCTGCCACCTCGCACAGCTCTGACGGAACCCTGTCCAGCATCCCATGGATCACCAGAACGCGGAGGTGGCAGAGCTGCCGCAGGCTCCCCACGGCCCAGCCGTGACCCACGCCGCCCTCGCTGCCCAAGCGACCCGAAAGGTGGAGCTCATGCAGGTTGCGGAGGGAGAGGACCCAACTGGGGATCTGTGACGCCTGAGAGAAGGTGATGTGGAGAACCTCGAGGCGTTCCTGGAGGACTGCGAGCGCACCGGGATCCACAGCCGCCGGGCAGTGGAGCTCCCTGTGTCTGTGGGAATCATAGCAAGGGTTTATGGGACATATGGAAGTTGATCAGGGTCCCTGGAAAAAAAACTCACTTTAATCTCAGAATTTCTATTTTTTTCTTGTCAGAATTCTGCAGTTTTTCTCAAAATTCTGAATTTTAGTCTCAGAATTCTGAGAAAAATCATCCAGATGAAGTTTGGACTTTTTTCAATGGACCCGATTCTCTTCCCTAGGGTAAAAGAAGTGCGTCTGATTCCCTGTACAACTCACCTGAGTGAAGTCATGTTTGCCACCTGCAAAGTGAACTTAGCGTCAGCGATGAGCTCCAGTTTGAGGGCGTGCAGCTGGCTGAGGGTGAACAGAGCCGGAGGGAGGCGAGGCAGGGCGACGAGCTGCAGGGTGCTGCAGCCCTCCGCGTCCACGCTGCTCAGAGCCTGGAGCTTCTCTTCTCCCCAGTGCCTTTCCAGGCTCTGCTCCAGCAGTCTGCTCTCGCTGACCGGCGACAGGAACATGGAGAGGCGCTGCACCAGCAGCGGGTCGTTCTGCTCCAGCATGTGGATGAGGAAGGCCAGGTCATTCATCAGATCGGGAATGTCCTTCAGGGAGTGGAAGGAATACCTTCGAAGACAGCTAAGGAGAGGTAATGAAACAAGAAAATAATTCCAATGGAAAGAGAGATGTAAAATAGAACATAAGGAACGACACATCTAAAAAAAAAAAACCAACAACAACTAAGTAACACAGAGAAATGCTTCATTGATATTCTGTGCATTCTCTTTAAAACACAGAAATGCAACAAAAGTGTCAAAGTCAGAGACTTCTTTGACACAGCTACATATTTTTTATTTAGTTTTTTCTTCTGCTTGTTTTTTTCTTCTTTTGGTTTTATTTATTGTGTAATTTTATATAAACATATGTAGATGTATGCGACTACATGTTTTATATTCTTTTTGTAATGTGCAAAAGGTAATCTGTACTTTGCTCTAAAGAAAAATAGAAGAAAAATTTGAAGAAAAAAAGAACACCTGCATGCGATTATTTCTGCCCCGGCTATTAACAGTAATCTGAGTTACCTGACACTATATCTAATTTTCTTATGAGAATATATTTTTGAACTGAATTTAACTTCAATTCAATTCAGGAATATTTTATTAATTTCAAAAGGACATTAAGTGCTATTTTTATCAAAATGTCATCCATTTTTTTGGTGAGAGTTCACAAACATTTCATATAACATGACTAGCAGATTATGGTAATTTTTCCATAACACCCCTAAAGATGCATTTAAGAGTCAAGAAAAGTAGATATTTTTGTTTTGTCCTTTCCTTATTCAAACCCTCCTTATGTTAATGAGAGCTGCCTTCCATGTCCAGGATATTTAGTAGTAAAGTATTTAGTACATTTAGTAAAACAGTATATTGTGGCGTATTATAATGTATGTATTTCACACCCGGATGTAAACTCTTATTGTGAAGGGCAGAAGGTGAGGTCGTCTTCCTACCTGATGAAAACAATTCGCTGTCACGCCAATGGCTGCCAGTCGTTAGGTTTGACAGCTGCCGTCCTTTGCTGCCGCCTAGTTTCTCGTTTAATGTTACGCAACAAAATGACACGTTTGCTTTTCATCCTACCGCGCAGCGTCCTGCGAGCATTTTTAAAGTGAAATAAAGCGAATAAAAGCAGTATCAGGCTTCCACTTGTCCGGTTGTGTTTGCTAGCTAGAGGCTCGAGCCGTTCACAGCTCCTCTCTTCCGGTCGTTTGATATTCGCGGTCTTCGGAGGACCCGGATGCAGACCCGGCATTCGAACACAGTTTTTTCCCATAAGCCTGGGAAACGTCACTTATTACGTGAAAACATAGAATTCGGCGAGTTTGATGTCTATGACGTCGCAAATGTCAGGGTGTTTATTTGCACTGCATTCTTCTCGAGCCCTCTGTTCGCCCTCGTTTGTCTCAGAGCCCGGATTAGTTCTTGTTCATCTCGCCTTTAGAGCAAACCTTTCTTCAAACCAGCGAACCTGGCAAGCAGAATGAGTTCTCCAATTGTTGAGACCCAGCGCATCACGGTCAACGTCCTTAGGGGGCTGGTGCACCGACTGTTCATCAACTTGACCTGGATGGAGTACCTGCGTCTGGCAACAGGGGACCCCGCTCGCACCACTACCTGCGTTCTGGTCGGGATATTGAAGGAGATCTTGGAGCTGTTTGTTGCGAACGCTCTTGAGAGTGTTCCGATCGACAACTCCAAGATCGAAGAGATGGTTGGCAACAAGTTGCCGGAAGCTTTTGCTAAGGTCATCAAGGTTGGTGGAGATTTCCACACCGAACGCACGGACAATTTAAACCGTCTCATTGTCCGGTATGTGGTCGAGAGAGTCAATTCCATCTTAGACTCTGACTCTGAGAACAAACGCAGCAATCACGTTGATGACTTGATCAGCGATATGGTGGATGAAGTCAAAGGCATGGTTAAGGACCTTTTTGTCCGATTGCATGCATCTGGCAAGAAATCCAAGAAAGTCGTCCGCCCGGTCGAGCCGAGATCTTTGCTCAAAGGCCTGAATGAGAGGCTCCAGGGTTTTTTCAGGCGGTTCGCTCGGAGACATTCATCACGAGTTGCTCCAGTGAACCTCCCAGAAAACCCTGGACCCTCTCAGACCATGACCAAGGCCACGGCTGCCTTGATTTCTTCTTTGGAAGTGGACGCCAGGTGTGACATCTCAACTCTGGAGCCCGACATTCCTCCAGATGATGTGTCGGACATCATAGATCTGGACACCTATCCAGAGATCCCATCAGCCAAAGACTCTCAGGCCTATCGAGTCGAACTGGAGTCAAAATTTGGATTACCCAGGGAGGCCTTCGTTAACGCGAAGACCTCACTGGGAGAGGATTTTGAGTCTCCAGGTTTGATGAGGTTACGCCTGTGGAGCATCGATTGAAGTAGTGGGGTGAATTTTTAATTAGTTGTTAGTTAGATAGTTAGGGATTTTTTTACTTGTTCGCTTAGCATTTGCTCGTTTTTAATTGTTTGCTCACTAGTTAGGTCGTTTTTTACTCGTTCCCTTAGTTGTTAGATCGTTTTTTACTTGTTCGCTTAGTTGTTAGGTCGTTTTTTACTCGTTCGCTTAGTTGTTAGATCGTTTTTTACTTGTTCGCTTAGTTGTTAGGTCGTTTTTTACTTGTTCGCTTAGTTGTTAGGTCGTTTTTTACTTGTTCGCTTAGTTGTTAGGTCGTTTTTTAATTGTTTGCTTAGTAGTTAGGTCGTTTTTTAATTGTTTGCTTAGTAGTTAGGTCGTTTTTAATTGTTTGCTAGTAGTTAGGTCGTTTTTTAATTGTTTGATTAGAGTTACAATGGTTATAAAAAGTGCCAGGTTTTATTTCAGCAAGACAAGCATTTTTGCAATGAAATTGAAAAACAAACAGAAATCTTCCAAGGAGCTGCAGTGAAAATGAGGTATTTTCACTGCAGCATAAGTGTGCACACCTTTTAGAACTGGGAGTGTGGCTATTTTCAGAGGCTACAAAAGAATTTCCAGTTCATTAAATATACCATGGGACACTGTGAAGACTGTCACCATCAAGTGCTACAACAGTAACATCAGCAAGAACAGGACGTCCGTCCAAACTTGACAAGAAAAAGACAAGAAGAAAACTGGTCTGGTAAGTTGCCAAGAGGCCGACAGCAACGCTGAAGGAGCTCCGAGAATTTCTGGCAAGTACTGGCTGTGCAGTACATGTGAAAACAACCTCCCATCTTCTTCATATGTCTGGGCTGAAGGAAAGGGCAGCAAGACAGAAGCCTTATCTTTCAAAGAGAAAAACCAAAGCCCAGCTTCATTTTGCAAAGACACATCTGAAATCTCCCAAACATATGTGGGAAAATGTGTCACGGTCTGATGAACCCAAGGTCGAACTTTTTGCACAAATTTCCAAAAGGTGACTTTGGTGCAAAAACAACAGTGCTCATACCTACAAAAGAGCACCATACTTACAGTGAAGCATAGTGGAGGTATCATCATGCTTTGGGGCTGTTTTGCTTCAGCTGGAACTGGGGCCTTAGCCAGGGTGGACGGAATCATCAACAGATCCAATTATCAGTCAGTGTTGGCACAAATCCATCGGGCTTCTGTTAGAAAGCTGGAGACGAGGAGGAACTTCATCTTTCGGCTTGACAATGACCCAAAGCTCACATCTAAATCAACAAAAAATGGAGTGAGATAAAAGCTTTGGAATGGCCCAGCCAGAGTCCAGACCTCAATCCCACCAAACATCTGTGGGGTGATCAGAAGAGGGCTACGCACAAGAGATGCCCTCGCAATCTGTCGGATTTGGTGCGGTTTTGCAAAGAAGAGTGGGCAAATATTCCCACATCAAGATGTGCCACACTGATAGAGTCCTATCCAAAAAGACTGAGTGCTGTTGTGAAAGCCAAAGGTGCTGCATATTTAGCCAACCAGGTTATTGTAAGTTTTTCACAGAATATTTTTATGCTTTAAAAGTTTCTGTTTGTTTTTCAATAGCATTGTACAGGTTAAAGGTCACGTTAAAGGAGGACAAAGTTGTGAAAATGTTTGTCTTGTCATGTGTTTACATCACAAAAACCTGGCATTTGAACAGGGGTTTTTATATCCATTGTACGTCATTTAAACTTACTTATTTAGTTCTTAGGTTTTTTTTTATTTGTTAGTTAGTTAGATAGGTTAGTTAGGTCCTCTCCATGGGCTGCCACCTTAACGTGGTGGAGGGGTTTGAGTGTCCCAATGATCCCAGGAGCCGTGCTATCTGGGGCTTTATGCCCCTGGTAGAGAGGTTCTAGGTGAGGAACCAGACTAAGTGCAGCCTTACAACCCCTTATTATAAATTCTGACAATGTTCTTAGTGTTCCGTCGCCCGGATGCGGGCCACCGGGGCCCCACTCTGGAGCCAGGCCTGGAGGTGAGCCCATTGGAAGGGAACATGAGTCCCCCTTCCAATGGGCTCACCACCTGTAGGAGGGGCCAAAGGGCTCGGGTGCAGTGTGTGCACGTTAATTAGCATGAACTTAATCCATTCAGTATGATAAATATTGCTAATAAATATGAAATTATGTAAAATGCTGATATTAAGAATAAAGCTAATGCAAGCGTGATGGCTATCATTAGCATATTGAGTCACTAGTCTATTGAAACTACCAGTAGGATAAGGGTTACTGCTAGCATGTTGACAAACAAAATTAGATTAGTGAACTAACACAATTCAGTATGCTAACATTAGTGAATAAATTAAAATGATCCAAAATGCTAAGTTTAGCTTAAGTGATGCAACATGCTAGTGACTCAATACGCTAATAATAGCCATCCTGCTAACATTAGCCTTGTACCTAAATTAAGCATTTTACATCATTTCATATTTATTGCATATTTATTATCAATATTTAACCTACTGAATGTCAATGAAAGTAAACATTGACTTGCTTACATTTTCAATGTAAACAGGTCAATGTTTACTTGACTGACTCACAGGTGCTGCTATCACCTGTGATGTCACAGAGGAGACATGAGACATGACAATCATGATGTCATGATTCACATTGAATGATGTCAGTGACATGTATTGATGCCATTCAATATGAATGATGTCAGTGACATCAGTAGCTGCAGAATGATGTTGACCACTGAGTAGCTTTAGCATTTTATGATGAAGTCTGTTTTGTTTTTTTCTATATTTCTCAATTATTTAAAAAAATATTTCAGCAAACTCTTCCGTCTCTCTCGTGTCCCCAGGTTGCGTGTCCAGGTCTTCATGCCAGGCAGCTGGACGATGTTGCTGGTGAAAGCCGTCCTGACTGGCATCGTCTGTCTCTGCTCACTTCCTGTTTATCACTCAGGTTCACAGCAACTGAAGAAGAAGCAGCAGGTGGAAAAAAAAAACCCTCGACAGTCTCGACTCAAACTGGAGGACCTTGAACCTTCTTTAAAGCCGTGAAGCTTTAAAGGAGGCTTAAAACAATCGGTGTTGGTTACTTGGACTTGACTGACATGATCCACCAACTGGCTCAGCTTCCAGCTCTTCCAGTTGGTTTCATTGGTTATGAGTCCATGAGTAAAAACAGAGTTGCCTGGGTAACATTTCAGTCAATTAGTTGAAGCTAACATCAGGAAACTTCTTCAGTGTGTCTGGTTTATGTTTGATATTGGAATATCAAACTTGAAACTAACTTCACTGCGGTCAGTAACACAATAAAAACACCAGGATGAAGTTTGTTTTGGCCTGTAAAGATGGCACCAAGCAACTGCGCGAGACGTAAATGTCTTACGCCGTGATGTTGGTTCCAAAGCTCTATTGGCCAATAGTGGAGGAGCTGGACATAGAAGGCAGCTCTCCTCATTAACATAAAGATGCACACAGAGATGACAAAAGATGGAGGGCTTGTATAAGGAAAAGACGAAACAAATTTCTACTTTTTTTGTCAAAAACAGGTGAAATGAAAAAGAAAATGTAAACATTTCTTGACAGAAACTCATGTGTAAGGACATGAAAAACTAAATATGTACTTATGATTTTATTTCTTATTATGTCAGTTTTGGTCCTCCAGAGATGTTGGGTCCTGTCTCTGAGTGCAGTCCAGTCCCGTCTCGGTCACTCCGAGTCGGGACTGGACTCCAAGGAGGAATCGTATTCCGAGTTATGGGCTATTTAAATTATAAAAGTGCTAAAAAGCTTTAAAAACTGAAGTGATTGCTTTAGTGATTGCTTTTAGTGACAGATTAAACAACCAATAGTCTGATTTCACAAGCCAATAAGGTTGATTGTCCCGCCC